CAGAGGTTGCTCCTCTATCCTGGTCCTATTAGATCTCTCAGCGGCTTTTGATACCATCGACCATGGTATCTTACTGCACCGGCTGGAGGGGTTAGGAATAGGGGGCACCGTGCTTCGGTGGTTCTCCTCCTTCCTCTCTGACCGTTCAGTTTGTGTTGGCAGGGGGGCAGAGGTCGACCTCGAGGCACCTTATTTGTGGGGTGCCGCAAGGGTCAGTCCTCTCACCCCTTCTGTTCAACATTTATGTAAAACCGCTAGGCGAGATCATCTGTGGTTTCGGGGTGAGTGTTCATCAGTATGCTGATGACACACAGCTAAACATCTCCACCCCAGACCACCCCAATGATGCCCTTGCTGTGATGTCCCGTTGCCTGGAGTCCGTGCGGATCTGGATGGGGAGAAACAAGCTCAGACTCAACCCCTCCAAGACCGAGTGGCTGTGGCTTCCGGTGTCCCGGTATAGTCAGCTGGTACCATCACTGACAATAGGGGATGAGATCTTGCTCCCCACAGAGAGGGCCTGCAACTTGGGTGTCCTCCTGGATTCATGGCTATCTTTAGAAGATCATTTAACGGCCATGGCCAGGGGTGCCTTTTATCAGGTTCGCCTGATCCATCAGTTGCATCCCTTTCTGGATCGGGATGCCTTGTGCACGGTCACTCATGCCCTAGTTACCTCCCGTATGGGCTACCGTAATGCTCTCTACATGGGGCTCCCCTTGAAAAGCACCCGGAGGCTCCAACTGGTCCAGAACGTAGCCGCGCGGGTGATTATGGGCGCAGCTCGTTACACCCATGTAACACCTCTCCTACGCGAGCTGCACTGGCTCCCGGTGGTCTTCCGGGTGCGATTCAAGGTGTTAGTTATCACCTTTAAAGCGCTCCATGGCTTAGGACCTGGGTACCTACGAGACCGTCTTTTGCCACCAATAGCCTCCCACCGACCAGTTCGTTCTCACAGGGAGGGACTACTCAGGGTACCGTCAGTCAAATTATGTCGACTGGCGACTCCCAGGGGGAGGGCCTTTTCTGTGAGGGCTCCAACCCTTTGGAATGAACTGCCCCCAGAGATACGGAATATCCCTGATCTCCGTGCTTTCCGCCGTGCCCTCAAGACCGATGTTCCAACAGGCGGGGCTAAACATATGAACATGTGAATGATTTTTTAAATGTTATCTAATTCTGGGTTTTATTTAATTGACCAAACTAAGTAATAATTTTAATTAGCAATTTTATGATGTTTGTGTGTCTATATTTTTCTTGACTGTACACCGCCTTGAGTCCTACGGGAGAAAGGTGGTATAGAAATATAAGAAAGAAAGAAAGAAAGAAAGAAAGGAAGGAAGGAAGGAAGGAAGGAAGGAAGGAAGGAAGGAAGGAAGGAAGAAGGAAGGAAGAAGGAAGGAAGAAAGAAAAAGAAAGAAAGAAAGAAAGAAAGAAAGAAAGAAAGAAAGAAAGAAAGAAAGAAAGAAAGAAAGAAAGAAAGAAAGAAAGACAATTGAATGGTGTAAATTAATGCTGTGGTATCCGGTGGGTGTAAGTTCCCTATGATCGGCTGAAAGACTTGAAGTCTAATGGTAAGCTTTTAAGCTTTTACACATCTAAAACATACTCGAAACAGGGGGCCTAGTCCACTAGGAAAATGGGGTTTGTTGTGATAATATTCATTACTTTGTGGAATCTTATACTATAAGTGCAGACAAGAATGGGGACTTTGGCTGTATTGCCTAGTTATCCCATAACGTGGCAGCAGCTATGTTTTCATACCGAACTTGAGCACCACTATTCCCTGATGCAAACACCACTAACCCTGATAGAAACTACAGATGAAGATGGGATTTGTATTAGGTCACCTTTTGATGATGGTGTACTGTATCCCAGGTGCAACCGTACATATGAAAAGTTCCCCAGTACAAAGATCTCTCAAACAAAATGGAATTCTTATACAGTCAATGCACTGATCGATATGGTAATTATATTCCTTCTTATAGAAATTTAGGATTACAGAGGAAGGGCTACATGTACCATATATTGAATTGAAAGTTCCCTCCAAACTTATGTTTTTATGTGGAAATATAGCATTGGCCAAATTACCTTTTATATGGAAGGGAAGATGCACTGTTGGATATCTTAAAGCACCAACAAGATATATTAGACAAGCGAGAGAGCCTAATAAGAAGGAAGGGAATATTTTTCTGGACTTGATGAAAGTAGCTCTCAATAGTTCATCCTTTTGTATAAAAAGGGAGACTACAGTCTCTGATATAATGTCAACATGTTTTGTGGGAGTGCCAGTTCCTGGGAAGTTTTTATTTGAAAAAGCACAAATTACCATAGAATATTAATTATAATTTATGACAAGTGATTTGGGAGTCCACAAAAACCTGCTAAATGGACTAACCAGAAGAAACTTGTAATTGAAGTAAAGACGATATTGCCAGCTTATGATTGTGTGATATAATTGTGTGAGAAAAAGCAGGAAAAGGTAATATATGTTCCTGTGCCTACTGAACAAGTGTTTCACTCTTCTGAGGTGGAGGAAATAGAAGCTACGGGCCAGGTTCTATATTTACCTAGAGGGTGGTTTATCTTTTGTAAATTGTATGCTTATGCTTAAATACCTGCACATGCAATAGGTGGTCTTTGTACCATTGGCCGTTTAACTACTGTAATGGCCGTTGCACAAATAAAGGACATAAATCATAATACAGAATTCTATTATGAAATGATGAATACAAGTCTTTATCATAGTAACCGTGTTCCTCAGAAGGTGGCTACAAAGGTGACTACACATGATGGTATGTTAGAAACTGTAGACGAAGCACATGGACATGAACATGGACATAAGGAAATCCCGAAGCCAGAAAAAGAACCACATTTAATTATATATGTTCCTGTAGAACCTATTAAATGGCATATAACACCAATATGCTAAATAGAATCTTATGACCATACTAGTAATGGACCATATAGAGGAGTATAAAGAGGTAGAAGAGATACACTATATGAAGTATTCGACACTAACTGCAATGATGAGGTAGTAGTATTGAATAAAGTTTAGGAATGTTTCCATGGATATCTACACAATATAACCAACTGCAACTTGGACATTTAGCTTGTGATTTAGCAAAAAGTAACACTATTACACATTTAACCCATGTAACCGAAAACACTGCTTTTAAAGGAGTTTGGGACTTATTAACATCGTGGTTACCCAGCTTTGCATGGTTAAAGGAGTTGTTTGTAGGTATCATTATCATTGTAATCATATGTCTTATCTCTTGTATCTGTATCAAATGTGTACTTGTATGCTTTACCTGTTGGAAACTTTGTTGTCATGTGAAAAAACAAAAGAAAATAACAGAAGGATCACATGGAAGATTAGGAAGACAGGAAGTGTCAATAATGTTACAAGACATATGCAATTTACAAGATTATATAAAGGTTAAATATGGCGTTACTTAGGTTATACTTTTTACAGGAATAATTCATTTTCTCTTAGGCTTGTCTCTTAGGCTTCCTCTCTGGGGTCTCCTGATGCCGTCATAGTTCTAAGTCCATAGCCACAGCCGTCCAATACCAGTCATGGATGCAATCTGGGACTCCCCGGCAAAGGTAGATTTGAAGCAGTTCCTTGTCCAGACCTTCTTTAAAGCAATGGACCAGCATCAGCTCTGGTCACCGTATCAGCTTCCCAGCAATTCTTCGGAATTCCTGGATGCATTCCTTAGCCGCACGGCCTGTCTGATTCTCTTGATTTTTTTCTCTGCCTCTTGCCCATGGGATACGTCCTCAAATTGGCTTCTTAGTTCCTGTAGGAAGTCATCGACATTTTCTAGCTCAGGAGCCCCCTCATCATGAAGTTGGGTCACCCATTCTGATGCTTCCCCCTCCAGGTTGTCAGTGAGGGTGGAAACAATTTCCCGGTCGTCTTGGTAGCTGTCCCCATAGCAGTTGATGTGTGCTCACGCTTGGTTTACGAAGGCCAATTTGTCCAGGTTCCCATCAAACACTGCTCGAAAGCACGATGGGGCTTCTCCTTGGGGTTGCAGCAGTGGTGGTTGTGACTGCAGCATGGCTGACAGTTGCACTGCAACCTGTGGGGCTGGGATCCATTGGGCCTGGACCTGGACCCAGCCCTTTCCGGGGTAATATGCCCAACCGGCTACCCCTGCCGGCGGCAGTCATGGCTGACCTAGCAGGCCGGCTGGTCTTCTGTGCCCAGGCGGGCTCAGATAGGAGCTGGGGCTCGAGCAAGCTGATAGCGGCTGTGGAGGGCTGGTAGCTCAGGTCGCCGGAAGAGTTGACTGGTCCCTCCTGGGCAGACTTGGTTGCATCCTGGGTTGCACCATATGCAGGGGTTGAGGCACCACGCCCTGGGTAGATCGGTCCCCATGTGCAGGAAATGTGAAAGTAGGTTGGCCCAGGACGGTTATTGTGTGACCGGTACACTGCTGCTGGCCGATGCTGCTGAGATGCATCTGCTTGAATCTTTCAGGCAGCCCCTCCAGGGTTTGGCTATGAGCCTGGTACTTCCATTCCACCGACTCATTTGAATCTAGGGGTCCCGTCGACCTCCACTCCAGGATCGTCGTTCTCGCTTCCTTTGTGGATGTGATTGGTCTCTCCCACATCTGGTCCTGAGAGGCTAGTTTGAATTCTAGGTCCTCCTCCACTCAGTAAAGTTCTTTGGAAGCTGGTAGTTGGAATTGTTCCTTCGCCCGGGCCCCTAGTTGGCATTCAACTTCAGCTATGGCTGCTCACTCGGGCATTGAGGGGAATGTCAGGCTCTCCTCAATTCCGCAGCAGGCCCCGCCAGCACACGGAGCTTCTCCGGTTCCTTCCTCCATCTTTCCTGAGCCTTTTCCGCTGCCCGGGTAGCCCAGAAAAGCCGCCAGAGCTCAAGACCCTGGACAGCAACTCTGGTTTGGAGCTTTAGAGTTTAGAGAGCTGGTTTAATGTAATACATCTCATTCAATAAGAACTCCGAGACAGGCAAATTCCTCAAAGAACATTTTATTGGGGCATACCAAATTGGCACATTCTTGGTGGAAAACTGGCTCTAAATTCCCACCAGTTTTACACCCAATTAAAGTTTTCAGTCACATGGTCCAATCAGCATGTAGTTCAGTTACTAGCTAGGTGACCTGTCTCCACCTTTCGAGCATCTGCACCAATGTCCTTGATTCCCAGGGGAAAGAATTTTATTTAGGCTACAACACCCCAGCTATCTCTACACACACACCCTCCCTGGCCCCTTTGCTCAGGCTGTGTCAGCTCTGAAGCAGTGAGAAACCTCCCTAGAGAAAAGCTACTAAAAGAAAATGGCCATAGTTCGGCCAACTTCAGGGTTAATAATATATGTACCTTAAACAAAACCAAGGTTTATCCTGTACTTACTTCCTCTGGAATAGTGGTTGGCAGCTCTAAGCTCCCTAGTCTTCTATTGCAAAACTCAAAATACCATACTTAAAAATTTACAGTGAAATGGTGAGATTTCAGTGGCAGCATTTTCAGCTGAAATAAAATGTTGAAATGTGAGCACAAGATCTCTAGATATGAAATGCTCTGAAAAGGTACCCATAAACACAAACCAAGGAAAAAAAGGACAAGCAAATAACTACATAACCAGAAGGTCTCTTATGGTATCTTCAACTATTCTCTACTGGAATTGATGGGGTGCCAATTCATGGGAGGGAACAGTGGACCATCTCCTGCTTTTTTGGGGGGGGGTTCTACTGGAGGTTCTCTGGGGCCCCTTCCAACTCTATTATTCTGTTTTGTTATTCTGTTATTCTTTCTATGATCACATTAGTTTAGTTTAGTTTAGTTTATTTGATTTGTATACCGCCCTACTCCCGAAGGACTCAGGGCGGTGAACAGCCAAACAATAAAATACATTATACCCATTCCATCAAACAAAGAAAGTCCAGAATGATATAGATTATAGAATCTCTTGCAATGGGCAGGGGGGTGGACTAGAAGATATCCAAGGTCCATTCAACCCTATTATTCTATATTCTATCTCATCCTTCACCAATGCATCATCTGCATAAATCCTGTAAGAAAGGCTAGCATTTCAACGTTTGTTTTATTTCTTCTTTTTAAATTAAGTCTTATTTTACAGGGCTTAAATGTATTTAACTGGGTTTTTTTATTTATATCTCACCTGTATTATTTTTATAATACATAACATAAGGCAGAGAACACATACAATACTCCCTCCTTTTTCCCCACAACTCCTCTGTGATGTGTGTTGAACTGTGAGTGAGCGATCAGCCCGAAGTCTTTGACTTTCATGCCTAAAATGAGACTAGAACTCACAGTCTCCTGGTTTTTAACCTGGTGCCTTAACCACTAGACCAAACAGGCTGTTGACTATAATCCACTTGAGGTAGTTCACAAATATATTAAATTGATGCATCTTCATATCCTATTTTTATTCTTTAAATAAAACCCCAGAAAAACAATAATTTAGAAACTTCCCAAGTTCCATTATGAACTTTAATCCATTATTTAAATCTCTTTTCTTCTGAGTTTAAGTGATATCCCTGTTTCATTACCATAGCAATGAAATGGAATCCACTTGTTAGGTGGAGCAATAGCCTGATTCCTAAATATTTCAGGTGGCAAAAAAAAAGAATCACTCCATGGAGGAAACAGAAGTTTGCAAGGAACTCTACTGATACATAAAAAAATCTTTCTTAATATTCTAACTGTCCACATATGATAACATTTCCTTTCCCCTTTCAGTGGCAACCATGTTCTCCCATTTCTCTCTGAGCTAGGAAAATTCTTGCAATCTTAGCTCTCTTCTGTACTATTAGTTCTATTAGGCTACCAAGGCTTTGCCCACAGAGCACAAGTTTAACTATCCTGAAATATGAAAAATACAGCATAGCTGAGTTTTTCCAAAATGTCCTTTCGAGGGAATGAGCCTCTAATCAGATCAATGTGAGTCTTTCAGTCGCTGTCAGTCTCAGAAAGTCCACCATTCTCCTCTTTCTCCAAGTCTGCTGCCACCTCTTTCAAGTCTGCAAAGAAATCTTCCCCATTGCCAAATGCTTTGCGACTTAAAGGCTTCAGTTGCTTATTTTTCTTCTTTTTTCTATAATCATCCACAATCACTGAACTAAGTGAAGAGATGTCCCAGAATTTCACTTTTTGGTCATGGCCACAGCTGGCCAGGTATTGGCCCATATGACATTTAGCCAGCTGTTCAATAGGCTCACCCATATGCTGCCCGACACTTCCTATCACTCGATTGGGCAAGATATTTACTGCCCTGAAACAAAGAAAAGCTTAATTACCAAAATGAATGCCAGTTCCTTTGTGGAGAGAGGTATCCAGCCATATCCCAAGTTCTTTTTTAGAAAAAAATAATCCCTTATATAAAAGCATAGGTTTCCCCTACCAGTGTTCAATTCAGTTCTCATCTCTGTTTTTTAGCCAAGGTTTGTCCAAAAATGCTCCCATGGTCATGTGGCTGGCATGATTATACACTGAGGTGCATGCAACACTGTTACCTTCCTACCAAAGTGGTACTTACTTATCTACTCGCATTTGCATGCTTTCAAACTGCTAGGTGGCAGGAGCTGGGGCAAGAATGGAAACTCACCCTGTTGCGTGCGCTCGGGTCTTGAACCCGAGCCATCAATTTTCCAGCCAACAAGCCCAGCTTCTTTAACCACTGAGCTGGCACGCCTCTCTTATGTAGCTAGTTTCTATATATATATATATTGCCATATATTGGCCCAGGAAACTAGGCAGAATTTTTCAAGGATCATCTTCTCAATCTCTTAATATTGAGTTTTGTCATACCTTATTTGAAATTATAGTTTGCTTTTGGCCATCTGCTAAGAAGAGCTTATTTTACCTAGTTTCATTTGCAGCCAGTCTGTGTTTTTGTGTACCTCTCCAGTATTAGCATCTCTCACAAGAACTTCTTGTCTCATGACAGTCTCACCTAATGATTCCATCGGTGGAACCTGTGCACACAATGCTCTCAGTTATGGGAACCATGCAGTCTATGGATTCTGCCTTCAGTGCAAAACGGTCACTGGTGGCACCAAAACCATCCCAGTTGAAGAGGTAAATCGTTCCCTCACTGGAGCCACAGGCTACTTTCCTTCCCCTCTGAGCAGGAGAAAAATAATACATAGTTTAGCCAGAAAAAAAGCAGCATATCTTTTGTTGTTATTAAGAACTAGGTCTTGAAAGCTATTTAAAATAGAAAAACCCTATTTATCAAAAGCTTAAAGCATACTACCTTGAATAGAGACATCAAACATCATACTAATGCAGGAAAATACTTTAAATTCTTTTTTTAAAAGTCCTTTTCAGTCCTGTTGTCTCCTGGTGACTTCCTGCACTAATCTCTGCATTTTTCTTTAAAAGTTTTCAGAAGTGATTTGCCATAGCCTGCTTCCTAGGGCCGAGAGAAACTGACTGGTCCAAGGTCACCCAGCTGGTTTTGTATCCAAGGTAGACTTTAAACTCATGGCCTTCTGGCTTCCAGCCTGATACCTTAACCACTATGCCAAATTGGCTCTCATAAAGACCTTGCTATCATCCATCTCAGAAATAGTGTAACTTACTGGTTCATATCTGCAAACAGCCTTTTTTCCAAGGTGCAGCAAGATAATAGAACTTACTTTCATCAGAGATATAGCCATTAAGTCTCCATTCTGAGGTTCTGAGAGAAGCTGAAAGCGCCTTCTCCTAATATTGAAGACTCCCATTGTTCCATCTCCACTGCGAGAAATAGAATGGTACATAATATTTAGTTATAAAGCAAACTTTATTTGGAATATGACAGAAATGGAGAATTCTGGAGAATTCTAAAAATGTTCTGCTCTCTTGTTTTTCTCATATAAAATCTCCTCAGTTTTTGAAAGTAAATTCCATTATCTAGTAGTAGTTAGATGGCTTGAGTATGATGTTCTGAGTGACTTCCAGTTTTTGAGATACTTCAAACTATTTCAGGAATTTACTTCTGGAAATTGCTGGTCTGCTCCAGAATGGCATGTTCCAGAAGGGGAATGGAATGTTTTGGACCTCTCCAGAACATTCCATTCCTAAATCACTAAATTTTATACATATCTATTTGCCTTCTGACAAATTCTAATAAAAACTTTATTTATAATCACTAGCAATTCAGAGCTGGCTATAGATAACTCTGTATTTATGTGAAATGCCATTACAACAGTGAAAAGAATAACGCCAAAAGAGATGGTGATAGTTTTTATCTAAAAGCTTTTAATCTTTCCCGTAGGAACAACTGCTGTAAAACATCTGCACTCTAAACATACAAATGTAACTTATTGGTCTACTGAATGAACAGGAGAATGTAGTACCTGGTTGTGAGAAGCAGCTTCTTGTTTCTATCTAGGATCATATCACTGATGTAGTCCTCATGCTGCTTCATTTCCATGATGGATGTGCCCTTGCGCAGGTCCCATATTTTCAACACTCCACTGTCATCTCCTGTGGCAAACAAATGCTCATCTATCACCAATAGGCTGTTCAAAGCTGAGCTGTGGAAATTTCAGAGTAGAAGAGCCAACATTATAACTTATTTGTAGAGCTGTTCCCATTTTTGAACCCTTATTCATATAACTCTTCTACTCAAAGGTACCATTAACTAATTCTAAAGAGTAGAATCCAGTGGTGGGATTACCCAACAGGGAGCCACAGCAGAGGGCCCAAATGTATGCGGCTCGAGAGCTGCAGATTGCCAACACCCGGTCTAGTGGTTAAGGTACCAAGCTGGATAGCAGGAAACCATGAGTTCTAGTCCCACATTAGCCATGAAAGACCTTGCGTCAGTCACTTTCTCTCAAACCCAACTTACCTCATAGAGTTGTTGTTGAGGGGAAAATAGGACAAAGCTGTGTTGGATATGTTCACTACCTTGAGTTAATTAAAGCATGATAGATAGATAGATAGATAGATAGATAGATAGATAGATAGATAGATAGATAGATAGATAGATAGATATAGAGATATAGAGATATATAAATAACTCATGCTCAAGAATCTTAACACAAAGGAAATAAAGAACTGTAAGTAGAAAATATAGCACCTCAGTAAATGCTTCATTACCAAGGCTACAGAATGGCTAGTAAATAATTCAGATACCTACTTGTGAGCCTTGGAGAATCGTATCACAAGACGGCCTTCCTCCACATTCAGGATATGGATAGATTTATCCTTGGATACTGTGAAAAGCCCTGGAATACAGAGGGGGAGAGCCCATACCATGACATGATCAAATTCCAAAGGGCTTTTTCTAACTGTTTTGTACTTCAGTGCTTCACCCTGAGTGAGGGTTATGGGTTTTGCACATATGTAACATCCTTTATAAAAAATTAATCTCTCTCTTTTTTTTAGGTAATCTGAAGGCATTAGCCTTTACCAATCTGTAATCCAGAAAGAAAGGCAGCTTGTGCCATTCTAGTTGGCCATTTCTTGATTCAAAAAGATTCCTATATTATCAGCTACATAATCAAAAAACACCTGGCATGTTCTGTTATAACTACTGCAAAGTAGATAAGCTATACTTGGTATGTTTCTTCTAGTTGGATTTTTCATGACTATGCAAGATATCCAAACAGAATGTAACTATCAGTTTTCCACTGCAAGTGAAGTATCCTATCTTGGATCTTCGAAGCAATTTAAAGTGTACACTATTTCTGAAAAATAATGCCCAATAGGTTTATAAACAGCACTGTGTGCTTGTTTCCTACTAATTTTATATTTATTTTATAAATAACATTCATTTTATATTTAGATTTATAAAATGTATTTCATATCATATATTTATAGATATTATAAAACCAAAATATTGGTGTTCGTAGAAAGACCAAAGATATAACTAAATGGGCACTGTTTAGAGCAAGTAAATTGTTTTAAATACTTAGAATAATCTTTTCATGATTCAGGGATCAAGCATGCCTATAGAAATTATAGGACACAAAATGTATCTAAATGCACATCTGCTGTCCAGGCATTTTAACTTTCTTGGAATGCCTCATCTGTTCCTGCTGCAGAAAAACTCCTTTCAGCAAAGAGTTGTGGCATCTACTTCATGGAGTATATTTATGCCAACTTTTCAAAGATATCTTTGATGTCTTTGTACATGTGCCCTTGACATCTTTCTGGTGCAGTTCATCATATGGAAGCATTATTACTTAAAGATGAAATCAGCATATGAACTAACTTTGTTGAATTTAATTTAAAGCTTGTCATTCTCCTTGCGGGCTTAGCACTATCTGTATTTCAAAAAACATTATAAAAACCATAAAAGCAGCAAACAAAGGGCACTCACTTTGTCCATCTTGCGAAAAGGATATTTTCCGGCAGGATTTTAAATGATGACCTGAGGACCAAAGTTCTTTGTTTTCACCCTCCAAACAGGAGTATGAGTATCTGTAATTATGATTTTAAAATGGAAAGAAAGCATCAGGCACCTGTTCAAATAATTCCTGCACCCAATAGTGCCTACCTTTAACCAATACAGATATAGCCAACCATCTTCTCTTGCTACCATTCGTACACACATACCTCATTTATACTGAATACATACCATATTTTTCAGACTATAAGACACACTGCACCTAAATTTAGAAGAGGAAATCAACAAAAAAAAGTTTTTGGGCTCTCTGCACTCCATTTTCAGGCCTTTTCCAGCCCATTTTGAACACTTTTTTCGGAGCTGGAAGTCAGGTAAGACACAGCGGAGAAGTGAGATGCTGTAAGGATCACCTCTCCTTCCAACTTAAGAAAGTGAAACGTAGTTGTTCAAAAGGATTCTTTTATTAAGCAGAAGTGAAAGCCATCCAGCTAAAGCACAATCTGAATGCCCTTAGGCAAAGCAGTAGGATTAAAGTGGTAGAGACCCCTCCCTTTAAGTCAAAATGCAGATTTTAGCCAATACACAAATGTGAAGATGTTTTCTTTACTATTTCCTTTGAGAACCCGAACAAACATGCATTCCCACCACTACCCTTTAAAGTGAGATAACCCACATGGCTATCATATAAATTCCTGCAGGTAAAGGGAATCTCAGGCCTCCTTGGCACCAGGATATAGGTTGCAAAATATCTGATGACACAGGCAATGCTAGTAAATCGAATCCAAGTCTCCCCCTTCCTCCACTTGAATGGCAGTATCACTTTTAGAGATCTGACAGATGCATGTCTTATCTGACTTCCAGCTCTTGCCATGCCTGGCGAGGGGGAGAGAAGAGACAGCAATGGGAGCCCTGTCTCGCTCCGTACATCTCGCTTCTCCGCCGCCCCACCCCTCTCCACCTGCCACTCCCCCTTGCCGGCTGAGATCGGCAAGCCAGATTCGGGCAGCTGAACGCGCTGCCACCGCCCGGGAAGAGAAGAACGTGAGAAATGGGCTCTCTCGCAGCACTTTGTCTCTCTCTTCTTCTCCCAAGTGGCAGCGGTGCATCCGGCTCACCAAATCTGGCCTGCTGATTTTAGGTGGCAGCGGCAGCTCTGACCTGATCCTCGCTGGCAATGCTGCAGGCAAGAAATGGCCACACCGATCCCGCTTCATAGCTGCGCAGGCAGCCCGCACCGGCCACTGCTCAGAGCTCGGGCGCTAGTCCCCTTCCCCCCAGTCCCAGATCGACAGGTCTAGGACTGGCAAGAGTTTTTTTGCAGCCGCTCTTTGCGGCCGCCACTAAGAGAAGGGGCACACGAGCTAGGGTTTGTGGGAGCGGCCTCCGCGAGGCAATTCCATGTGGAAGGCAGGTGCATGTGGGGCATGTTCCCCCTCCATTTCCCTGTTGTGACCTAGGCCCAAGTAGGTATTATCAGACGCAATCAGTTCTAAACAAACGGATTTTATTGGAACATAAAAGAATTAACTCATTCTCAGCATAGTCCAAACTAATTCAAAACAAATTCTTCATAACACAGTTCTTCGGCCTTATCACCAACCTTTCTACTTTGGCAACATGCCAAAGGCTTTTCTTAGCAAAAGTTCAGAAGCAGGAGATGCCAACAAGAAATAAATACAGCAAGACAAGAAACAAATCTATCAACGTTGTTTTCCGACGAAGAGCCCAAGAGCTGTTGCTGGTCTTTTAAGCCTTATGGGAGGGGCCAATCATCTCTTGGCCTTACTCCCGAGTCATCATTTTTACTTTAGCTGCTCTTGCCTTCTGGTAGCTCTTCTCATGCGTGCACTAGGAACAGGCTCCCTCTGCCTCTCTGCTGTCCGCCTCTGGAGGCTCCGGAATCCGCATATCACTCCCAGATGGCCCTGGCCCCATCGCTTCCTCTGATGCAGAGCCCTCGTCCGGGCCTTCCCCTGACTCCAGGACTGGCCCATTGTCCTCCCCAGCCTCCTCACTATCTGACTCTGCTGCCAGGTCCGCAGGCTGCTGGCGAACCACAACATTCCCCTCTCTGGCCTCACCTCCTTACATCGTGTTGTTTGCGCAGCAGCTGCGCATGTGTCTAAGTATTGGGGGGGGGTTATTTTAGGGGGGGGTATTTTAGCGCGTGCGTTTGAAATCCAAATTGGGCTTATTATCCGGACAGGTTCTAATTTCAGGGAAACACTGTAGAGGGACAAACATGTTTTGGCACTTTGAATGTCTTTTTTGCGCCAAGCCAACAGATTCTGTCTGCTCTAATCTGATTGATTTAGTCACAAGTACACAGACCCCTTGTCTCTCTCTCTCTCTCCCTCCCTCCCCCTCTCTCTCTCTCCCCATCTCCCATTAATAAAGACAGGGATATCCTCTCCATCTCTCACACATAAGCAGAAATTTTCTTTCTAGCACATAAAATATTGTGGATGGTCCTGCTACAAACAGTCTCCCTTTTTCAACCATACCCAGCACTTCTATCCACATCTTCTTTCTCTCAGCCACACTTGGATCAAAACTCTTTTGATCACTTGCAATCTCCTCTCACAACTTCACATTTTCTGGCCTGTTCACAAAAATAGATCCCCCTCTCTCAGAAAGACATCCACCCAAATACCCCAAAGACTTTAGTCCAGGGCTGTCACACTCACAGCCTGTGGGTCGGATGCATCACGCACTGGCCAAACCTATGCCTGGTTTAGCAAAGGGGAGAAAAGTCCTGATACATCACGTGACACCGCCATGACGATGCAAGTTTGCCAACCCTGCTTTAGTCAGTCATACAGATGCCCTTCCTATGCTTTCTTCCCTCTACAGTTGCCTTTGTCAGCTACAGATAAACACACACGCTCAGTCTCTTAATTGTACACAAAGCTTCTGTTCCTCTCAATTATGCACAGAACTCCTCTATCAATGACAGACAGTTTTTTAAGCAGGCCTCATCATCCTACACAGAGATTACCACCCATACATACACAGCAGTCTTTTACTCTCAACTATTCTTCTTTAGCCACATACTAGCTCTATCTCATATCTACTCTCCAAAATTCTCCTTAATGTCTCTCTGGTTCCACTTTGGATAAGGGGGCATGGCTCTCAGCCACAAAGAGCCACTCTCCTGTAAGGAACAGGTACTTCTTCAACATACAGATATCTTCTTTCTCTTTTAAATCACTCACCTTAATACCCCTACCTCCAAAAAAAGTAGAATGGTCTCCTTCTCCAAATGACCAACCTGTCCTCTTTCTTAACTACATGTATATAATTACAACTTCTTGCTTAAATAAATACATACACAATCACACACATCAACATCTACATATTCTCTTTCTCCAACACATCTTATTTGTCTTTTTGGTATGATTTCTACTAGTGACTACAGGATCTTCTAAACTCAGCCCAGCATAACAGTAAATAGGACAGATTCTGTACTAGCTCTGGAATGTCTGGAAGAAACCACAAGGTTCTCTAGATCTCAAGTGAGGAAATGGTTTTACAAACATTTCCTGTTACTACCCATCACAGAGATACTCTTAAACAGATACTTCCTTTCAAATATGTTTTTTCTATACAGAGAGATGGATATACATTCTCTCTCTCAATCTGTAACCATACAAGCATAAATCCTCTTTTTCTCTTAGTCAACTGCATAAAATCTAACAATGGAAACACACATTTCTTGTCTTTCTTAAACATTTACACAGATCCATCTTATTGAACTACTGATGCACCAGGGAGATTTTTCTACAATCTCCATATACATGACCCAAGAAGAAGGCTCAACCAGTGCACTTCTCTGAGAAGTTGAACTCACACATAGACATCACCGTCAACATCTCCAATAGCTATGATGTCCCGGGAGGGGTGAAAGTCAATGGTATTTACTGCTGCCTCAAAGAAAATGTCTTCAGGAGTATCATGAAGTCTAGGCTCCAGTCCAAGTTCTTTCTCATCTGAATGTTCCTGGATGGAGTAGACAATAAGATATAGTAATCAAATCTTCATAGTATCTTTATAGTCCTTTACTAATGTAATTAACAGAGTCCATATACTATATATTCATGTTTGTTTATTCAGTTCATATCCAACTTTTTTCAGAAGTTAAATTGCTTTCCACTGAGGCTTCCCTAGATTTTTCTCCCACAAGAGGAATCCTGTCAACCCAAGTTTCCCCAGATTGAATTGAATTAATTGAACTTTATTTAGCCAAGTGTGATTCAACACACAAGGAATTTGTCTCCGATACAGAAGCACTTAGTATTCATGCAAAGCAACAGAATCATCATCAATAAAAGGAGGGAGAAAGGAAGATAATAAGGATAGACAATAATACTACAGACTACATGGGTAAATATACATAGACATTAGACAGTTCTGTGAGAATTAGGTATTCAGCAGAGTGATGGGGGGGTAGGGGGAGGGAACTGTCCTATGTCTCCGTGTTTTAGCCTGCAATGCCCTGTAGTGCTGTCCTGAGGGGAGGAATTGAAACAATTTATGTTCACGATGTGAGGGGTCTGCAGATACCTTCTCAGCCCTCCTTATGACCTGCACAATATACAGGTCTTCTGTGGAAGGCAGGATGCTTGCAATTGTTCTTTCTACAGTCTTAGCTAACCATTGAACTCTGTACCTCTCCTGTTTGGTTGTTGTACCAAACCAGATAGTTATAGAAGTACACATTCAAGTCCAATTTCTTAACCACTACTAGACCAATTGGCTTTTGAATCCTTTTATCCTCTTTTCAATATTTCATTAGCCACCATCACTGATTTAGCAATTTTTTATTAATGTATTAATAAAAACCATATTAATCTTATGGTTATTTTCCAGCACCATCACTACAGTACATACGATCATATCAGCCTACAGCGCCATAAACACATACACAGAGAATAGGAACAGCGATCAATACGTGAGAACAGTTCAGCTGATTTACTTGTTTCTGGTACTTTTTACCAAATTTTTATCAAGTGCTCCTAGAACTATGCAACATTTGAGTTCTTTATACAAGTAAAGGCTATTCCATAAATTTATACGTACACACGTGCGTGCATGTATGCATACATACCAGGGAGGAGGGGACGGGGAGGGGGGAGAGACAGCTAGAGTAGGGAAGCCTGGAGAGGGAGTCAGTTTCGGTTTGCCTGGCGCAACCTCTTCCGGTGCTTCTTTTGTACCGCTTCGGTGCCGGGAGCTCCCCATCTTTACTCCCCATAAAACTATACTTGGAATTGGGGCTCAGGACAAAGGGTAATCTATGTCCCATAAAACGCGAAGAAATGCCGAAACTGAGGATCTAAATAATAAATATTAATTCAATAACTCTAAGGCAATCCCGTGATAGCCTCTAGCACTATATTCCTACTGCACCAAAGCTCCCGCACAGACTACTCCTCGATCGCCTAAGCCTACATTCCCAGACCGCTGCTCCATGACACAGGAAGCCGCGCAGGCCTCTTTCCCGGCAAAGGGAAGTCCACGTGAGGACAAGGGTGGTATACTTACAGCGTCAGGCGCAGCCATTTTCACTACAGCAGTCGGCTTGGGGGCACAAGCGTGTTGGGAACTGCGGACGCCTGCGCAGCAAAAGGAGAGGCGGGGCGAGCACTTTTCCTCTGGAAGCCCAGGAAATTGAAAGGAGAAAGTGACGTGCTTATTATCGAAATGCAGGTTGGTCTTCTGTTGTAGTTATTTTGTGTACCGAAGTAGCCATACATTATGTGCAGTGTCGATATTGTTTACTGCACAGCAGGGACCCAACCATCAGAAAAAGTAAGAAACGATTAAAAATTGGAAGGAAGATTTTTATTTAATCCCCTAATTACCAACCCTATCAAGAATGTTGACTACTAAATCTATAGGTTTTGATCTTTCCTTTCCTTGGTCGGAGCCAAGGACTTTAAAAGACAAACAGAAACTAATCTTTCTGGAGAAAGAAAGAAATGGGAGTCCCAAGATGTTTTTTCAAGAGGCAACTGGACTTTGTTTTTTTCTTTGAAGACTTTTCGCTTCTTATCCAAAAAGCTTCTGAAGAATCAGAACGTCCAGTTGCCTCTTGAAAAAGCACCTTTGGGACAATCATGACTTGGATGACTGAGAATCTCATAGACAAAGAAATGGGAGCTTTTCTTTATATCTGTGGTTTGCAAAGCTCCTTCATTCTCACTTAACAAAGATTGAAATTCAAAGGCAAATATTTATTGCTGAGTCTTAACAAAAAGCCACATTTAGAAAAATTCTTTTCCGATTATTTTTATAGCTCACATAGTGATTGCATCTCCCTGAAGTCTAAAACTTAAAAATCATGGACTTCTCCCACAAGAGGAATCATGTCAACCCAGGTCTCTCCAGATTTAAATTCAACTCCAATATCTTGACATGATACTGTCAACAAATTTTGATACCATGGTACAAGTATTATCAAATGCAAGAAAGATTCAAAGTCTCTTGCTCCACCTTCTGGATAAATTACACAAAAACAAATACATGGTAATCAGATTTTTTTATGGTACATTTTTATGACACATGACACAATATCAGTACATTTTTTATGACAAATGACACAATATCAGAACAATAAAAACGTGACTTGCATTCTTGCACCTAATTAGGGCAGAAGTCTGAAAAACTTTGATTTGCATTGTGATGTTATAACACACATTTAATCATTTTTGTCACTAATTTGTACTAGGCACCTATAACCTGCTGATAATAAAGAATCAGTGATGAGTTTGGGGAAAATTGTGTAACATGAATGAATGTGAGATGTGATATGAAATGAAGGAGCACGGTAATAGTCATTGGGCCTTTCAGAGAACCTAGAATGAATGAGAACAATTACTGGCAAATATCTGCTTAAAAGAAAAAAACTTTATAAAAATTACAGCTATTATAATGGTTTTTTTAAAAACTTTCCTGTCTTTATAGTTTTACCCCGGAGCATACATTTTGCATTTTATAGATTCTCCTTGGAGAATCCAGTTGATCAACTCCAAAAGCTATTGTCTTGACAGAAATTTTTTTTGTTAAAATCCCCCTGAATTTCCATAATTCCAGGCTGCAAAGGGAGATACTGGGACTGGTAATTTTTTAAAGTCATGGCGTGGGATAAATTAGCAGTATTAATACTGATCAGATTATTGCCAATTAAGAATTTAAAACATTTCAATTTAAAACAATGTAAATTTGAATTGTTTAAAATTGCTAATGAGTGGTATATGCAATTTAAAGATCTCGAGATTTCACAATTTGGTTCACGTTTTAGCTGTATTAGTCATAAGAATATTAAATATATTTCATGGGTTATTGAATTATATAGCAAAGTGTATTGTATATCATTTTGGGTTGTGGCAAAAAAGATTATTCTTTTACAATATATTTTATAATAAATTTACTATCTTGAATCAATACTGCTTTACAAAATGGTTCATTTGCACTGTAAAGATTAATCAATATAACTGTATAATGCTGCATTTAAATGCTAAGTTTTTTAAACATTATGTTTTCCCCTTCTTTACATCTTTCGTATCTTTGGTTTCTATACTTTATAGTGTACATAAATTGTATTTTTACATTGGACAGGAGAATTGGACTGGGCGGGCCATCTAATGGACATTCTACCCTAAACCATATCACTTATTACAACCTCTGCTTGTGGCATAAACATAGAATGTTTTTTTGTGAAGCATGTCCCTGTTGTTTGGGAACAGGGACATATATTTTTTTTGTAAACAGTTTTTCTTTATTTTTTACACATACACACACACAAACATACAATGTATTTTTGCTGATCAGAGTATTTGGCCGGTTAACAAATTTAAACAATTTTTAATCTTTACAACTAAAATTACCATTTCTATACCTCCTTTTTTGCCATAGTGTTCATTTTCATCTATTTTTTACCAGTTTTACCCTTCATTTTCATCTGTAACCAAATTCCAATTTTCCCTTCTATTCTATATTAAACCCTTTCTTATTGTCATCTGTTTTTATATCCATCAAAATAATTAATTTTATGATGATGATGATGATGATGATAATAATAATAATAAATAATAATAATAATAATAATAACAACAACAACAACAATAATTTTATTTCTATACCGTCCCTCTCCCGAAGGACTCGGGGCGGTGTAGAGCCTATTAAAACAAAAAATATACAAATATCAAAATTTAAAATTATTAAAAATATTACACAATTTCGGCCCAGATTAAAACCCCCAATTTAAAACTCCCAATTTAAAATAATTACATAGTTAGCCCTGCCTGGCGAAACAGTAGGGTCTTAAGGGCACAGCGAAACACACGGAGGTCGGAGATCTTGCGTATTTCCGGGGGCAGTTCGTTCCAAAGGGCAGGAGCTCCCACAGAGAAGGCTCTCCCCCTGGGTGTCACCAGCCGACATTGCTTGGCTGACAGCACCCTGAGGAATCCCTCTCTGTGTGATGGCATGGAGCAAGGAAGAATTTGTGGGGTTTTCTAGGGAAATTTTTTAAGAATTTAAGGGCTTCTGGGAGGGGGGTTTGTAATAATCTTTTTAGAGAAACTGGGAAGACGACTATGGGGGATGGGGGGGGGAAATCCACCAGGGTCAGAGCCGAGCCCGGCACAGGGTAACGATTCGGGGGGTGCTGGACGAGGGATTGGGGAAGGGATGGGGGACGATACCTATGAGGGTTGTACCATCAGCACGGTAGATGGGAGGGGCAGATATGGCGGGAGCAGGGGACCATATCATGTGTTGGGGGCTCGCACTTGCTGTTGGAGAGCAATTGCTTGCCCCGGTCCCCAAGGCTCCGCTCGGATACTAGGTGGCTTAGATACTCAGGATCTGGGCCTTCGGCTGATGCTATGCAACGCCAGATCCGTGGTAAACAAGGCCCCCCTCATTCACGATCTTATACAAGAGGGAGGAGCGGACCTGGCGGGTATTACGAAGACCTGGCTGGGCCCGGAGGGCGGTGTCCCTCTGGTTGAAATGTGCCCACCAGGCTTTAGAGCATTCCATCAGCTGAGGGCCCAGGGGAGGGGCGGGGGGGTGGCGGTTATTATTAACGAGGATCTGGGTCTGAGGGAGACCGCTGTGCCTCAGATAGCCGGATGTGAGTCCCTCCTTGTGAGGTGGGGTCGTGGGGTTCAGATGGGCTTGTTGCTTACATACCTGGCTCCCTGCCGCGTGGCAACAGCCCTACCTGAGCTACTTGACGTGATAGCCACGGTGGCAGTAGATACACCCAGGCTTTTAGTCATGGGTGATTTCAACTTGCCATCCATTGGTGAAACATCTGAGGTGGCTCGGGAGTTCATGGCTTCCATGATGGCCATGGACCTGACCCAGTTAATTCATGGCCCTACTCACAGGGGAGGTCACACTCTGGACTTGATTTTTGTCTCTGGCCAGTGGTTGAGTGGTCTTGTTATAGGGGATATAGACATAGAACCCTTGTCATGGACTGACCACTCACTCCTTCGCCTGGATCTTCGAACCGTAGCCCCCCGCCGCAGGGAGGCGGACCCAATTAGATGGATATGCCCCTGGCGCCTGATGGATCCTGATAGGTTCCAGATGGAGCTTGGGCCATTTCCTGAGCATCTAGCACATGACTCGGCCGAGGACCTGGTAGCCGCCTGGGATCGGGTGGCTGGGGGGGGCTTGGACCGAGTCGTGCCTTTGCGGCCTCTGACCCAGTGCCGATCCCAGGCGGCTCCTTGGTTTACTGAGGAGCTGAGGGAAATGAAGCGCCAGAAAAGATGCCTGGAGAGCGGTTGGAGGGCCAGTCTCGCTGAATCTGATCGAACACTGGTAAGGTCGCATATTAAGACCTACCTAGTGGCAATAAAGATGGCAAAGTTTAATTACTTTTCCGCCTCTATTGTGTCATCAGGGAATCGTCCGGCCGCCCTGTTTAGGGTGACCCACTCCCTGCTCCACCCAGGAGTGCGGGAGGATCCCTTGGAAGGCAGGGCGGAGGATTTCGGACAATACCTGTATGACAAAATCGCTCAGATCCGGGGGGATTTGGACTCTGACTGGGTAGATCAGGGCAGGGTGACGAGGAATAGTCTTGAGAATGTTACCTGGGAGGAGTTTGATGCTATTACTCCCGATGATGTGGACAGGATTTTGGGGAGACGTAGTGCGGCCACATGTTTACTGGACCCGTGTCCCTCCTGGTTGGTACTGGCTTCCCAGGAGGTTACACGAGGCTGGCTCCAGGGTGTTATCAACGCTTCGTTGAGTGAGGGTCACTTCCCCGCTGCCTTGAAAGAGGCGGTGGTGAGGCCT